ATACTACCAGAAAATCAAGTCAGCCTCAGGGAAAAGAGAAACATGGCTTACTATTTCAGAACAGATAAAAAATCCACACACACACACACACACACACACACACACACACACACACACGGTCCTGGTAAACAAACAACAACAACCATTTCTTTCTCGAGTTCACCCCATCTCTAGTCTATGAGGAAAACCTGGCATTTCTGCCTTCAAAATGGACCCAGAATCAGGCCACTTCTCACCAAATCCACTGACCACCAGCCTGGTCAGACCCAACATCACCTCCCGCCTGGACCATCCCCCCGAGGCCCCTGCCTCAGTCTTCACCGCCCCCCCCAATCTGTTCCCCAGGCGGCCACCAGGGGGGCGCTAGTTCCCACTAACAGCAGTTCACCCCCTCTGCTCCTAACCCTCCATGGCTCCCTGCTCGCTCCCTGTCAAAGCCAAACCCTCCCCCTGGCTTACAAGGCCCCATACAATCTGGGCCCCATTGCCTGCTCTCTACCCTCCCCTTGCACCCTCTCCCTCTTGCTCACCCTGCTCCAGTCTCACTGCCCCCCTCGCTGTTCTGCACGCCACGCAGTCCCACCCCAGGACCTTTGCACTGGCTGTGTCTCCGCTGTACCCCTCTTCCCCACGCACACAAATACACAATTTAAAATAACCCCTCGCCCTGACTGGTGGCTCAGTAGGTAGAGCGTCAGCCTGCAGACTGAAGGGTCCCTGGTTCGATTCCGGTCAAGGGCATGGACCTGGGTTGCGGGCACATCCCCAGTAGGAGGTGTGCAGGAGGCAGCTGATCGATGTTTCTCTCTCATCGATGTTTCTAACTCTCTATCCCTCTCCCTTCCTCTCTGCAAAAAATCAATAAAATATATATTTTTAAAAATAATAATAATAATAAAATAAAATAATCCAGAAAAAGAAAACTAAGGGGTCTCCAAGAAAGCAAGAACGGCAGAATGCTGGTCGTTGTCGGCATCGGGTGACGACCAGCTGGGGGTCAGCATATGACTCCTGCTTTTGTGTGCACTGCGAAATGCCATCATAAAAAAATAAATAAAACGCCCCGTAAAAATAAAATAGCGTTTGCACGTACCCCTCACTCATTATCTCCCTTCCTTCCTTCGCTTCGTATCTCCTTGCCTGCTGTCTGTCCCCCGCGGCTAGAATGTCTGGGCAGGAATGTCTTAGCACATGGCTGGTGCTAAATGAACGCTTGTTGAATGAATGAATGAATGAATGAATGAGAAAGTGCTCTGATGGAAATAGACACGCTGTTATCACAGAGCCTGAGTATGGAGGTGTAAGTGCCACACGGGCAAGGGTGGCCGGGAAAGGCCTTTCGGAGGAGGTGACCTTCGAGCAGAGCTGATAAGCGGGGGGCAGTGTGGGAAGGTTGAGAGAAGCACGCTCTTGGCTCCTCATAACTACTGACTGGGTGGCCAAGCTGCAGCTGCCTGTCACTGCCTCCCTGTCTCAACCCTCCCCGTGTCCTTAGCATCCCCCTCACCGGGGTTCATGTCCCCGCATCAAGAAGGGTTCAGGAAGCTGGAGAAGGCGCTGTGTGGAGATGACATAGGAATCCAGAGACGAATAAAGGGTCCGGAGATGAGATATAATTTTGTAAGTCATTGGGGGTCAGAGGACCTTCAGCTAAAGGAACTGAAGACTCCCTCCTTGTCTAGGACCCTTGCTTTTATGAACACAATTTGTCCTAAGGCAGGTGGAGATAATACACTTCAAAGGGTAAGGTTTCACAGGGTACAGAGGCATTGTCAGTTTGGGGAATAGCCTCCGGCCGGGCGCTCAGGTGTTTGGCCAGTAGGAGGCAATAACATGTAGATGAAGATGCCTTTTAGCTGTCTGGCAACAACAGCATCATTTAATGTCTCCTATTCAGGTTTGGAGAAATGCCTTTAGCCATTCCCAGATTCAGCCCTGCTGTCATGCTGGAC